TACATACTGCAACAAAAATTAGGGTTTTCCATTTTGCTGTACTCATACAAAAATCCTAAACCAAAACACCACAAAACCAAGAAAATTTCCTTAATATTCCAAGTCAATCTAGAAAAACATGAAATCGTAACCTCGAACCCAGACCTAATTCATCCAAAGAAAATCCATAACAATATGAACATCGAAAAAGACGTTAATAGAGGGGAATTAGAAGCGTACGTATTCGCATAACAACTGCAATTCATCTTCGGACAAGTGCTGTCCCTCTTTGACCTTAGATATCCACAGATCCAAATCCATCGTTCGAATTCCGAACTTTTGTATCTGAAATTATCCGGTGGCCTACGTGTAATACAAGCTTTGGGAGGTTGAGATTCTGCGGGTTAACCTCCGATTGGTGGATCGACGGAGAAACAGAGACGGCCGACGAAATCAGTTTTGTTGGCCTTCTGCTATGGAAGGAGCTCTTGGGTAGGTGCAGTTTCCCCTGTTATATCCGTAGACTCGTTTGCTTGTGAATTCTTTTAACCATGGTTTATGCAACCGGATGCAAAATTGTTTTAGGGGTTCGTTTAACACCCGGTTCCGAGTTGAAAGGAAACGGCTGGAAATGAAAAAAAAAAAAATTTTTTTTGATGTTCTCGGGTTATATTAAAGGAGGAAGTGGGGAGAAATGAAAGAATAAAATGATTTGGGAGGATTTGGAAAGAAAGAATAAAATGATTTATTTTCCATCCACTTCTTTCAAACTCGGGAACACAAAAGAAAATTTTGTTTGTTTTTTTTTTTTCTTTTCTCTCATTACTTTCTTTTCTCTTCTTTTCTTTTCTTTTGATAAACTCGGGAACTAGGCGTAAGAGCTTAAAATGTTTTTATTCTTTTGTAAATGCAAACAATTTATATATATATATATATATATATATATATATATATATATATATATATATATATATATATATATATATATATAGAGAGAGAGAGAGAGAGAGAGGACGGTTCAATTGAGAAAAAAAAAAGGTTGAGAATGGGGGAACCATTCTCAGCCAATCACTTATTGACCTTAAAAAATATAAAAACGCGATGACAAACTTGTAAATAATCAAAATACATTAATGAGCGGTGACAAACTTGTAAATAATCCAAATACATTAAACCGTCAGGCCCCTTGAGTAATTTCATCGCACATCAAATCTCGACAGCAAAACCATCATTTCCCTCTTCGAACAGATAATCGTTTCTCCATAACACGAAAACCATTAGCAGAAGCACACAATCACAGAAACCATCCTCAACATAACGAAAGAACAAATAGAAGAAAAATGTCTTCAGAAGAAAACTTACACAAAACTATTTCCTCACTGTTGACTATGAAAGGTAATTCATCAGCGTTTTTTTTTCTTCGATTTTTAACGATTTCTAATCATTTGTAAAACTTATCACTTGATTACTTGAAATTTTTCGTAATTGTAGTTCATTATTAGTTGATTTATAACTAAAAATTTCTATTCACACTCTTCATTCTTCAAACTAGGTTATTTACTTCAAATTTTGTGATCCTCGTTCATTCTCGTAATCGTCATTCATTATTACTTGATTTAATTCAATTTTTTGTAATAATCATGCATTATTAGTTGATATATAAATGATTTTACATATTCTCTTCATTTTTCATACATATTTCACAACTTTTCTGTTAAATATAAACGTTACTTCAAATTTCGCTTATGTTGTCCTAATATTAACTACTCGCGCTTACAGAAACAACTCCAAAAGTGAAGCATACATATAAACGAAAAACAAAAACCAATGAAAAAGGTAAATAAAATAGGTATTCCATTTAGATCTGATTAACTTTATTCATAAGTAATTGCCAACATTTAAATGAGATTTTACTTAAAAAATACAACAGAAAATGACTTATATATGTTATATTCACATATGAATAGAACATAATTTGCTGTCATATATACATTATTCAAATATGAATACAAAAAAATGACTTATATATGTTTTATTCACGAATATAACATACATATTCATATGTGAATAAAAAATATGAGTATATATGTTTTATTCAAATATTCATTTATGAATATAAAATAGTTTCTTTGTAAAATGTATATCCAATTCATTTATATTCTACTCTCTAATGAATGAAGGTAAAAAGATTAACATTTCTGATAAAGACCCACCAACAATGAGAGAAACACGATCAAAGCAGAAAAACAACAAAGGTATAAAATTCATATCATATCTTGTATATCCCTACTATAATTTTCTTCTTCAATATGTTTTATATTAAAAAAACTATTGAATTCTTGTATTCATATATGAATATAAATATATATGGTTTAACTTTGTTTGTATTCAGAAGCTAATCATATGTGAATGTAAACAATTATTCATACATTTATGTTGTTTTGTTTTGGAAGATTTTTCTTTTGAAATTGGTGATTGATTTTCAGTATCTTCACATATAGATATATCTGTTATATTCATTTTATGAAAAACTTGTATATCCCTACTATAAGTTTCTTCTATTAACATATAAATACTTCAATATGTTTTATATTAAAAAAAGCTATTGAATTCCTGTATTCATATATGAATATAAATATATATGGCTTAACTTTGTTTGTATTCAGAAACTAATCATATGTGAATGTAAACAATTATTCATATCTTTATGTTGTTTTGTTTTGGAATATTTTTCTTTTGAAATTGGTGATTGATGTTCAGTATCTTCAAATATTGATATATCAGTTATATTCATTTATGAATAACTTGTATTCATGTGAATACTTCAATCTGGATATGTTTTATAATATAAAAAAACTATTGAATTCCTGTATTCATATATGAATAAATATATATGGATTAGCTTTGTTTGTATTCAAAAAATAGTCATATGCGAATGGGAACAATTATTCATACATTTATGTTGTTTTGTTTTGAAAAAAATTTCTTTTGAAACCGGTGATTGATCTTCAGTATATTCACATATGAATGTAACATATATATTCAAATGTATTTCAAATTTATTTATCTTCTACTTACTAATTTATGAAGGTAACAAGATTGACATTTCCGATAAAGAGCTAACAACAATGAGAGAAACAGATTTGAAAATGAAAAATGCCAAAGGTACAAAATTCCTATGATATCTAATATATTTATATATGAATAAACTTGTATATCAATGTTATACTTTTGTAATAAACAAATATTAATAAATCAACGACAATATTCACATATGAATGATTACAACTTATTCAAGTATTATACCTTTTCATTTCCAAGAAAAAAAAGAAACAAAAACATCGAAAGAAAACAAAGCATCAAAGCAAAAAAAAACTCCATCAAAAAGAAAAACTCCTGAAAAACGATAACTACACGATTCAGACTCTGATTTTGAAAGTAGTCGTCCATCAAAGAAGACAAAAAAAAAGGAGTCACCAATCAAGAAAGAGAAAAAAAACCAGTGGTAAAGGAATTTTACTCGATGAAAAAGAGATGTTCACTAGAGTCATTACTATCTATAATCCCAGGGTTGAGCAAAAAACAAAAAGAATGTGTAAGATCTATGGGTTTTGGAACTTTGTTAAAAATGAAAATCACAGATATACCACTGATATTGTCATATTTATACATATTTTTAGGTAATATTTAATTACATTTTGATTAATATTTTGGTTATTTGCATAGATGAATGATACTTATAAGGTTAAATTATATTGTGCAGCCAAAAAGAAGACGTTTTGAAGAAAATGGACTAAAAGCGTTAAAGAAAGGAACTTTGGAGGATAAAGGCTTTAAAGATAAAAAAAATCCAAAAAAATATGTTCTCACGACGTGTGTTTTAAAGGCTCAAGACGTGAGTTAGGACTTTCCAGAAGATAAACATCACGAACCTAGAGTCCTTGTTGAACACGGATAACAACGAGCTCACGACGTGAGCATGGATATTTCAAAAAACTATATATAGACCTTGATCCCTACGGTTTTAGAGGTTGGCTGACTTAGAGAGGTTCCAGAAGTCGAAAATCAGAGAGTTTGAAGGCTAGGGAATTGGTTTGAACACCAAGGAAGAAGAAGTTCATAATTCGATTTTTACTTTGGTACTTTAAACATGTTTTTGATTATAACTTGTTTGTGTTCATTTGTTAAAATGAGTAGCTAAATCTAGCTGCTTCTGTTAGCTAGATGAAACTGGAACTCATGGTTTGATTATAATACTTAGACTTTTCTTGTTGGTTAATGACTTGTGTTTGATTGATTACACCTAACATGCTTAATTTGATAACTAGATTGCTTTAGATTCTCATTCTGTGTAATTAGTGATCATTAATTAGCATGAGTTTGAATACCTAATAATTTAGTGAACATTAGATTATTAGAGCTAAGATCGAACCAGTCTTATATAAGTAATTAAATTATTGAATTTGGTTGTGCTAGAGAACTCATATTATGAACATAATTGTGTTTGTCAACTCAATCTTACATAGCTCCAATCCATTGTAGTAATTGATTTTGTGTTAAATTATGTGTGACCATACATAGATCTACATGAATTAATTGCATGTTAGTAAATTTGGAATTGAATTGCTAATAATATTTTAATTGGTAACCAACAGGAATTGTCATAATTAATATATAAACCATTGAGGGAAAGTGGATTCAACCTAACATAAGTGTTTTTATAATTTGATAGTTGTTGATAAATTAAGTTCATCAAAAATTGCAAAATTAGATAAAAACCAATACTTTGCTAGAAATTTAGGTTAATTTAATAGTAGGTAAATTAATTAGTTAAAACCGTTCTCTGTGATCGATACCCGACTTACCTAAATTATTCTATAATTTGACTATGTACACTGCCTAGGTGCATTTTAGTTAGTTAAGTTAGTTAGGTTATAAATTTAAAACTAGGTGTAGCTAATTGCACGCATCAACCACTGAAGCCAGAATTTTATGTTCTTAAAAAATTTGATTCTGAGAGAATGGTGATAGATATAGAAGGAGAGGAACTGAAAGTAATAGTAGAGTTTGTTCATGACATGTTGGACATACCAACTGGTGGAACCATACTTACACAACTGGATCAATGGCCTAAAGATGATACAAGTTATGATGAATGGAAGCAACAATTTAAAGAAGGTTCAATCATCCGACTGAATGCAATAAAAAAAGTTATTGTTTCTACCATACAAGATGATTTCAATTTCAAATTGAACTTCTTAGTTCTTTTTGTCAACACGTTTTGTGAGTCAACATCAATGGGAAGATGCAACATGTTTCCTTTGAGTTATATTTCAAGAAAAACAGATATTAGCAACATAGACTGGTGCAGTTACCTTTTGGACTGTCTTGTCAGAACAAAGAACTCATACATATCATACTCAGATAACAACTACTTTGTTGGACCTTCAGCTTTCTTGGTGGGAAGTTATTATAATGTTTATATTGAATTTTTTAATAATAATTAATTATTCGTAAGTAAATAGCACATATTCATATATGAATAAGTAAAATATACTTGTTCACATGTAATGCTTTACATTACTTATTCATATATGTATATATATAAAAATCATTTATGAATATCATCTAATTATCATTTGTCTGCAGTTGTTCTATGCTTATAACATCCGCTCAGAAGCTTTAACGGTAACACGTAAATGTCCAACAATTTGTTATTGGAGTTCAGAGAAGATTAGATATCGAGAGACATTTGAACAAGAAGAAGGTAGATTTGGACTTGGAGAATTAAATGGAGAATTTGTTAATGAACAAGATCAAGGAGATACAGATCTCGAAGATGAAGTTGAAGATAAAGATGATTCTGTTGAGGTAATTATTTTAAACATTTTAATAATATATGATTACATTAAATTATTATATTAATCTCTAATCATAGTTCTTTTTATTACATAGGCATATGAATCAAAATTAGATAAAATGCTTAATAGTTTTGAGAGAATGAAGGGGAAGCTGAATTCAAAACTCAATGATGCAATAACAAAGTTCCCTTAAAAGGAAAGTTTTAGGATTTTCAAAGAAAAGACGACAAATATAATTATTGGAGAAAAAACTGAAAGCACAACACTTTTTGAATTTCCAGGTAATAAAACTGGAGTTGAAGGTATCAATTTGACACCAATAATGGGTGTAACATCCAAAAAATTCAAGCCAATTTAAAACTTCTTAAGATATTCAAAAACCGATAATGATTACAAATATGTTTTCAAAATGGTTTAATGTCAAAGTTTCCCAGAATCAAATCATAAAACAAGGAGGTGCACGATCACACCTTCGCCTTCCCGCGATCACCAGAAGTACCTGAAACAATAATCGATAAATGTAAGCTCGAAGACTTAGTGAGTTACCCCCAAAATACCAACGCCATACAGATATAACCATATAATATAAACAAACACAGAACAACATGCATAATGAGCCTTTAGTCTGACTGGACCGCCTCATAGGCCTTCAGTCTATCTGGACCGCTCTCCGAGCCTTCGGCACGTTTGGATCGCCTCGCAGGGCCTTCAGCCTATCTGGACCGCTCGCCGGGCCTTTTGTTTGATTGGACCCTGGCCGGGTCTGCAGTCTATCCGGTCCGCCCATGGTATGTTGGCCTTTAGCACAAAGCAGGACCGCCTCAACCCAACCCCCAATCAAACAAGCATGTGCACATACATATCATACGCTAGCATATATAACAGTCAAACTGATCTAACAGATCAATAGCATAGCAACATCCTATAACCAGGATACCAACCTAACCAAGTCACTAATATAACATCATCCTATATCCAGGATATTGATCTAACCGATGTGCAACATAATAACCATCCTATAACCAGGATACCGATCTAACAGATCACTAACATATCATAGTCCTACAAACCAGGATACCGACCTACCAGGTCCTAAGCATATCACCATCCTAACTACCAAGATGTAAATCAACATATATATACCAAACGCTAGCTAGCATGAACAACTAGTCATACAGATCTAACAGATCAATAGTCATAACATGCAATAACCCGGATACAAATCTGATAAGGGCCGACATTGGTGCCATAGACCTTGTCAGTATAGTGAGGAGAACTCACTTGGCGCCGCTGAAGTCCTGCAAATAAAACTCCAGCTGCTGGTTGACAGATTCTCGAACTGCCAACATCAAACAATACCCAATTAATAATTGGGTCCCAAGCCCAAAGTCCAACTCACTCTCCAAAGTCCAAAAGTCAAGTAATGGGCCAAAGCCCAACATATGGCCCAATTTTCCAAATTGGGCCCAATCTTCTCTAATGGGCCTTATCCTCAAGCCCAATAATTTTCCTTAGTCCATAACACTATTTCCAATTGGCCCACGAAGGCCCACAACAACCTAATCCAAGACATGGCCCAAACTAAGGCCTACAAATGCAAAGTCCATTTCTATATTGGGCCACAAGGCCCAATAGACCCAACTGTTCAAATACTGGCCCAAAGATACATTCAAGCCCAACAACCAGCAAATCCAGGCCCAAAACCATGTGGGCCCAAAGGTCCGAAGTCCGCTAAGGCCCAAGTCTTCCTGAGAGCGTACGCTCGGCGTACCTCTTCTGTACGCTTAGCGTACTGGGCGAAGGGTTGTACGCGCAGCGTACAACATAGTACGCCCAGCCTACAAACAACTTATGCACAAAGTCCATTAAGAGCTTAATACATAAAGACTTTACGTCCCAAACTCAGATCTAAGTCGTTTGATGAGTCCTAAAGCATAAAGTTGACAACTTTATGCCTTTGCATGCTCCAAAAAGACCAAATAACATTATACTTTCATGGGAATGACTCAAACTCCCACATAGATGGTCTTAAGCTCTAAAGGTACCCACTTTATGGACCTTGGAGCTCAGAAACACTAAGAGGGGCAACTGAAAGCTCCTGGAATGAAATCAATACCACTAGATCTCATACTTGGGACCAAAATGAACAAAAACCCACAAATGGTAGATCTAAGATACCCATGATCAAGTTCAAAGCTTTATACCTTCATTAAGATGAAAATGAGTCACAAAAGCCAGATCCATAAGCTTCTCCTTGATCCCCCATCTTTTCATCAACTCCAAAAATGGACTCCATGAGCTTAAAATGCCACCATGGATGATATATGACGTTTTCTTCTTGGAAATGGACCTAAACACTCCAAAAATGGACTCCATGAGCTTAAAATGCCACCATGGATGATATATGACGTTTTCTAGGGTTTTAGAGGGTGGAGGCTGAAGGTATTAGGGTTAGGTTATGAGATAAGGAGTTTAAATAGGGTTCAAGACCCTAAAATAGGGTTTTGATCTGTTTGGCGTACGCCCATCGTACTCCGAAGAACATTCGCGACCATCCTGATCAATATGCCCAGCGTACTCCAAGGTATTCCCAGCGTAATGCCTTCTTCACTAGTACGCCCCGCATACGCTTTGTGTACGCCCCGTGTACTCGGCTAGGCCTGAAAACCCACGAAACTTCCGAAGGCCATAACTTCTTCGTTATAAACCCGATTCCGACGATCCTTATATCCACGGAAAGGTAACGAGAAGCCCCACACTTATATCAACTTTATTTAAACTGAAAACCAACCGAACTAAAACCCAAAATTCATAAAAGAAGTCTGAAACACTACATTCCCGTTTTACCCTTGACTCCAAAGTGCAAACCGAACTATTGGGTCACATACCCACATTACCCCCATCCAAATGGGCCTAAATCTTACCTTTATAAAGGCCCTAATCCTTATGATGACTGCTCTTCAGCTACCACCTCGAATTAAGACTTAATTCGAAACAGGGCGTTACAACTCTCCCCCACTTAAATTTGATTTCGTCCTCGAAATCGTTTCTTACCGATCCTGGCAACCCGAAATCCCGAGGGGCACATTCACAACCATAACGCATGAAAATCTTCTAGGGAGGCTAACTCCACAGAAAATTCCAACCTGAAGAAAATAATTTCATAATCCCATGCAGCCAATCAACCCTACTTCACCTGAAAACTTGTAATCCGGAAACTTGAATTTGGCCTGACTCCCTCACAGACCGCCAATACTAACCATTGCTAATTCCATTCCATTTATTCCCTAAACGGACTACTCAACCCTGGAAACCTGATGTCCCTACCATAGTACAGAACCACCGATCATACTTTACTGCCGAGAACTCTTTACTGGACAAAAGAGATTCGATAATCCTTCCAGAGTAAGCTAATTCTGATGGCAGGATTTCCCAATGATATGATGAATAATGGAAGACAAACTGGGAGATGAATCATTTGTGCCAACCGAAAATTCTTCCACTAACCCCCGAATCAATATATACATCAGTGCTAGCTCCTAACCACAAACACCCATGACTGGTCCGATCAGCCTCAGACTGAAATACCAACATGTCGAATCAATCCAACCATCGAGTTGAAATTCTCAGGGTTTGTTGGCCTACCGCCTCAACCCTACCGCTCCTCTTGAGCCTTCGTGCCTACGACTTTTAGTTGGACTGCAATGGGTATCTTGGCCTACTGCATAGAGCAGGACCGCCTCAACCCTACCCAAATACAATGTGTTGCCATAGACGATCATGAGAAAGATCTAACCCGGTTCCCAGAACCTGAAAGACAGGGACATCCTAACCCAGCCACCTTCGATCTCACCATCGATGACATCACACTCTTCGTCCAAAACTTGCGACTCGCACCTCAAACCCAAAAGATTCCCCACTTATGTTACTGACTTCCAGAATGCACGCCTCGCGTAGATACTCTCGTGATTCCCAACGCGAGTTTCCACTATAAGCCTTCTCTAAAATGGACACTCATATTCTTCTCGAAGGCCCTTCCTTATTACTCAGATTCGAGCACACACTTGACCGAACACCCGAACTGAACTCAATGCATGACTGAAATCCCAACCTGATTTCCCAAATTCTGCTATCAAGCACTCAAAAGACGCGATCCACATGCTGAGGAGTTTTACCGAACTCCCATCTCACACAACCCTCAAACCAAACAGCCACTTGGGTCGCCTTCCTTCCCGACGGGGATGCGAAACTTATCCCAACTTCAAAATCGCTCCTGCTTCTGAATCTTGGGACGATTCTCCCCCACTTTGAATCAACTAAATCCTCAAAGCACACGAGAACTAAAGGATTTCCAATCCTTCTTATCTTGCAACGATCGACCCGTTGACTACTAACGCTTAACCTTGCCATTGATCCATTTCTAGCCAACTTAAAAGACCGCATACTCACTGAAGGCTAAATGAACACTTGTTGAATCCCAGCACACTGATAATCCCAGACGCTCGAATGATACTACACTCAAATCTTGAAATCCAAATGACAAATGCTTTGACCAAACCACAACAATAGACCACTTCCCTTGGCGACCCCACAACCGATCTGAACACAGTGACTGAAACCCCAAACCCCGACGATGGTGGATAACCACCCTGCTGAACCCGAGGCACATACCTTTCTCATAATACCCCTGAACCGATCTCGACTACTACCCAACATGTAACCAAACACTTGGAGCTGCTATACGAGAAATGACCCGTCACTAACCCTCTAATGATTCATGACATGCAAAACACGCATAACACTCCCCAAAGATACAGCCCAACGGTGACATAATGACAACCCTTGGAGCGAAAAACTCCATCGTGCAGTTACCCGCAAGCTGCACTGAATTCGGCCCTGCTGGCCTCTCAAAAGTTGGTCCGAAATCTTGGGTCTCTTCCTGGGACCCTCCAATAATGCACCAGATCTGGTCCCCTCTTCGAAATGTGCTCCAAACCAATCTCCCGCTCCCGGGCTCTAGAAGTCATATCATTCAGGGTCTCGCACCCTGACTCACTCACCAGCTCAATCATTCACAGTTGAACTGCAGTAGCTGAAGCAACCTCTGCCTTATATCGGGCTACAAACTACTCCCAAGACATAGTCTTCAATCCTAAAAGTGCAATAGATCGTACAATCAATCCTTACCGCCCGATACAAGAGATCCAAGACAAACCGGACCTCACAAAATACTATGCCACATCGACCCATCCGCGCTCACCAGCGCTGAACTACTGTCGCCAATCCCGACGACCAACTGACCCCGAGCTGGATTACAACCAGATCTTGGGGTCCCAAGTCTGCTCACTCCTTCGAGCTCGAAAACTGAAAGAGCACAACCCTTGCCCTATAAAACGACATTTCAATCCATCAATTAACCATTCTACTTCCAGCTGTGAAACTCCAACTGATCATAATCATCACTCCCTTCCGGAGTCCCCGCGACTCGAATCCTGACCTCGAACAAAACCCTCGAAGCCTCAAATCCAGAATCTCCTGTGCCAGCCTCCCCCGCTCACCCCGCGGAGTGCAACGAGTACGAAAAATCTCCCTGCTCCCAAGTAACTGCAACTCTCTACTCATCAGAATACATCCCAGTAACAAGTCCCTACCAGTCCTTCCCCGCGGACCTTAGCAGGTTCATAGCGCGCCTGACCTTCTGATCAGTAGGACATGATCGTGTGAAGCAACATCCCTCCACGTCATATGGCCACCTCATGGCTATAACCGGGTCCTGAACCCTATCGAAATTCGAGGCTTCGCGTTATCAAAGTCCCGATACTGGAAAGCTCGACCAGCTCCTCCCCCTGCTGCCGTTACAACTTATGTAGTTGTCGCGGCAGCCGTCTCGACAATGGTTGCATAGCGCTCATCAAAATACTCAACCATGGTGGTCTTGATAGACCCAAACATCTCCGGCAACTGTCCCCGGACGATCTCGATCACCTCCTCCTGGATGATCTCACTGACACGATCCTCTGACAATGCTGGCCTATCCTAGCTGCCAGCTCCCGATCCTGATCAGAATCCGTTCTCAAGACGTCTCGTAACCACCATTCTATTAATACACCAAAAAGATCTCTGCTAACCCATATAATGACATGGAACCAACTCCCAACCAAACCCTAGGGGTTGTTACTTCCTTGCTACGCGTATAGGTCCTATGATTTCAGTAGTACGGGCCCATACTACCTTCCACACCTACCCATATTTGTCTCAAGTATCACCACAACACCCTAACAATATACATAAACATAGCGATCGCTCAATCCCCACTCCTAGAGGAATGCTAAATATCTCATGACTGGCCTCCCGGCCTCGCACAACCCACCCATGAAATTTCCACCAACCCTGAAGCACTAGTGTATGCTAGCCATACATAACGCTGGACCCTATAGACTTTCGAATATACAATCCTACCCTAAGCTCCCAATTAAGCAAGAACAGAACATAAGGCCGAATCAAACATTCTCAGGCTATAAGATCTTAATTATGTATAACCGTGATGCATACACTAAGCAACTACAGTAATGATGTCAATCTCATATAGAGGAAACCCTAGGCTAGCAGGCATCATGTAATCAGACGATTCTATTGGGCCACAAGGCCCAATGGACCCAAATGTTCCAATATTGGCCCAAACATACATTCAGGCCCAACAACCAGCAAATCCAGGCCCAAAACCATGTGGGCCCAAAGGCCCGAAGTACGCTAAGGCCCAAGTCTTCCTGAGAGCGTACGCTCGACGTACCTCTTCTGTATGCTTAGCGTACTGGGTGAAGGGTTGTACGTGCAACGTACAACATAGTACGCCTAGCGTACAAACAGCTTATGCACAAAGTCCATTAAGTTCTTAATACATGAAGACTTTACGTCCCAAACGCAGATCTAAGTTGTTTGATGAGTCCTAAGGCATAAAGTTGACAACTTTATGCCTTTGCATGCTCCAAAAAGACCAAATAACATTCTACTTTCATGGGAATGACCCAAACTCCCACATAGATGGTCTTAAGCTCTAAAGGTACCAACTTTATGGACCTTGGACCTCAGAAACACTAAGAGGGGCAACTCAAAGCTCCTGGAATGAAATCAATACCACTAGATCTCATACTTGGGACCAAAATGAACAAAAACACACAAATGGTAGATCTAAGATACCAATGATCAAGTTCAAAGCTTTATACCTTCATTAAGATGAAAATGAGTCACAAAATCCAGATCCATAAGCTTCTCCTTGATCCCCCATCTTTGCATCAACTCCACCTTCTTGGAAATGGACCCAAACACTCCAAAAATGGACTCCATGAGCTTAAAATGCCACCATGGATGATATATGACGTTTTCTAGGGTTTTAGAGGGTGGAGGCTGAAGGTATTAGGGTTAGGTTATGAGATAAGGAGTTTAAATAGGGTCCAAGACCCTAAAATAGGGTTCTGATCTGTTTGGCGTACGCCCAACGTACTACGAAGAACATTCGCGACCATCCTAGTCAGTATGCCCAGCGTACTCCAAGGTACGCCCAACGTAATGCCTTCTTTACTAGTACGCCCCGCGTACGCTTTGTGTACGCCCCGTGTACTCGGCTAGGCCTGAAAACCCACGAAACTTCCGAAGGCCATAACTTCTTCGTTATAAACCCGATTCTGACGATCCTTATATCCACGGAAAGGTAACGAGAATCCCCACACTTATATCAACTTTATTTAAACTGAAAACCAACCGAACTAAAACCCAAAATTCATAAAAGAAGTCTGAAACACTACATTCCCGTTTTACCCTTGACTCCAAAGTGCAAACCGAACTATTGGGTTACATACCCACATTACCCCCATCCAAATGGGCCTAAATCTTACCTTTATAAAGGCCCTAATCCTTATGATGACTGCTCTTCAGCTACCGCCTCGAATTAAGACTTAATTCAAAACAGGGCGTTACAATGGGTCAAAAAACAAATGATCAAAAAGAAAATGAAGATGAAGAAGGAAATCGTGAAGAAGAAAATGATAATGATGGATGTCAACCAGAAGTAGATTATTTGTTTGATTCAAACGAAGCAGAGAATGAAGGAATAAAGAATGATGGAGATAACAATAAAAAAGATGGTGAAACTGAAGTAAAAGAGAATGATGGAGAGATCAATGAAAATGAGAATGATGAAGAGAAAAATGATGAGAAGACTGAAGAAACAAATAAAGATGGAGAGACTAGTCGACAAAATGAAACAAATCAAAATCTGTTGGATAAAGTTGTTGACAACATTGTGGATAATGTCCTTGGAGTTGGATTTTCAAGTTTAAATAATCAAGAAGATGAAATCTGGAATGACCCTGAAATGAAAACTATTTTGGATAATATTGATATAGGTAAATTTTGACTAACTTTTATTTTATAAAATATATAAAAATATTAATACACAATAACCAATTTTTTTAATAAATTTTGACCAGGGTCACCAACGACTAGAAGTAAAACTAATACTCTGATCAGTCAAGTTATTCAACGTATGTTACTATCAACTTATTATTTATTCACTAATTCATTAATTATTTATATTTAATATATAATATTAACTGGATCTTGCAGAAAAGGGAAAATCAGAAGGTGTACATAAACAAGGAGAAGAAGTTGAAAAATAAAGGGAGATGATACAGGTAAATGAATGATTCATAAGTGAATAAGACACTATATAAATGAGTAAAAAAGATAGAATATTCATATATGATGTATATGTTTCAGTCAACGGAAGCTCTGAACATGTAAACAAAGGAGGAGTAAAAGCTAACAACACAAAAGATGGAGGTGCAGATAAACAAACAGAAATTGAGAAAGGAAATACAGATGATAGAGGTAAATAGTTGATTCACTAATAAATGAATATAATAAGTTTGATTATTCACTAATGAATAACAAAATATACGAATAAATAAAAAATATAGTATTACTTATTCATAAATAATGATATGCATTACTTATTCATAACTGAATACATTACTTATTCACAAGTGAATAAGACAATGTAAGTAATGCTATGCATTACTTATTCAAAAATTAACATATTGCAATATTTATATTCATTTATGAATAACTAATACAACATTTTGAACATATATAAAATATTCATATATGTTCTTTATCTTTCAGGAAAGAAAAAGTCTGAAAATGAAAACAACAAAGGAGGAGAAGCTGACAAGACAAAAGGAAAGGAAGAAGGTAACAATTTGGAAAAACATTTCAAAAATATTATAATTAACATAAAACTATTTAATATGATAAATCTCTTGCCATGCAGATAACACACATCCAAGCTTTAGTCTAGGTCTCAGTCAAGATTCAGATCAAACTTCAAGTAAAAAATCTAATGAATCTTCACCAAAAAAACCACTTACAAAGAAACAAATCAAAGAAGACCATCAGAGGGTTGTGATCAAATTAGCAAACAAAAATGTTCTTAATCCAAATCCAATCTCTGTATCAATTCCTACAGAAGTAGGACCATCAAAGAATGATCTTTAGGAACCAAGAGAGAAGAAGCTTGCTGATGCTTTCAAATCACCTTACAAATGCAGGATAATAGACACAAAAGCTAAGCTGACAAATCATGAGAGTATTGTCTGTGAGTGGTTGTTCAACTTGCAAGGGAATACATCGTAAGTAACTTTATTTATAGACATATTCACATATGATTATTATATAGATAATAATGTATGACATTTGCTTATATATTTGCAGAGATGTGGTTGTCCAGACAATATATGGCCAGGTAACAGAAATAGCATTTATGGAAAGTCTATATGCAAACACAGAGATTTTTGCAGAAGTTTTAGACACTTGGGGCTTATTTACTTAACCACCAAGAACTGGAAAAGGATTTCGGAAATTCACCATACAGACTTTTCTTGAAAGTTGAAGTTTCTGTAAGTTCATGTTCTAACATTAATTTCTTCTTTATTGATAAATGAATATACCAATATGATGTATTCATTTATGAATATTATATTTATATTAATTTATGATTATACCAATATCATATATTCTTTAATATAATTATGTATATGCAACTGAAATTCATATATGATTATAACAAAATCATGTATTCATCTTTGAAAATAAAAATCAAAAATAAAAATATTTACTATATACTTATGATTATACCAACATGATGTATTCATTTATGATTAACAACTTACTAATCCTTTAAAATTATATTGGTTACAGAGTGCTTATGTATATTCAACATTGTCTGATGAAAGAAAGTATGGAAAATTCAAGGAGAACTTTCATGACAGCACTGATGGGTACAAAAAAATCTTGAACATAAAAGATATTGACATGGTATGTTAACTAAACTTTTTTTTTGTATATATTTTGTCAAAAAATACTTACCATTATATAAATAAAAACAAGTATTCTTTCCAGTTCTTAGGAATGCTTACATTTTTGTGATTGTCTTCAACTTAAAGAAACCATCAATTGAAATTCTCAACAATAGTGCAGTTGAGGGCGATTAGGAAGGGAAATATGGAGTAATTTTGAAACCTTTGGTAAGTACCCAATTCACAACAACATATAAGAACCAATTTATTACATATCTAACTTTTATTTTATTTAATGATCAGAAAAATTTGTTTGTGAGATACTTGAAAGAAATAAACCATCCAAGAGCCAATGCCATCTCAAAAGAAAGTATCACACCCCAAAGACTTAAAATGCCATGGAGAACAGTTAAAAACAAAGTTGATTGTGGGGTCTTTGCAATGAGACATATGGAGACCTATATGGGACAACCAATCTCAAAGTGGATGTGACATTCGCCAAAACTCAGGTCAGTACTCATCTAGAACCTCGTCATTTCCTTGTGTGCACTTAACTTGGCTCTAGAGTACAAGTTAAACTAGATTTGCAACTTAATAGATCCCTCGGAACAATTAGTGTACCTTAGCTTGTATTGAACGATCACATTGATATATGAATGAACCAACTGAGTGGTAAAGTGCCAAAGTTGAACCTTAAGTCTAAACACAAAACTATGTTCGGTAGACCACAACCCTAAAATTTCCATATTGGAAAAATCTAATGCTTAACAAGGTTATGTATTCTAAGCTAATATGAACAAAATTAAATCGTAATACGATCCAACTACAAAGTTGATGACAAGATCATACAATTCATAATTTGAATTATGAGTCAAAATATAGAGTTAAGGATTTCCTAATCCTATATTCCATGTTATGAACCTTTAAAATTCATTTATTTGAAAATATAAATATTAATTTTATAAAAATCAAATCATAAACTAACCATTTTTTTGAGTTAGTTAAGTTAAACACAAAAGCTTTATTAACCTAAATTATATGGCAAACACAAATGAATTAGAAATCCATTTCAAAAATCAAATTTGTTAAAAATTAAAGAAGGTTATTATGATTATGCCTAATACCAAGAATAGATCTTTCTCTCTCCTATACCCCATTCAAAAATACATCCCTCTCTCTATATCTCTCACTCACCATTTATTCCACTTTTAACTACTCATTACTCCTCTTCCTTCACTCTACCTTCTCTCACTTCCCTAGACACGAAATCCCCTCAACTAGATTTTCCAGCAACTTTCAGCCAAATCACGAAATCTTGAATCCTTGGAGTGTCCTTTGAAGCTTCAAACTCAGATACAAGGTCAAAGATTTCATCCCCTCCATTAAGCTCTTCATCTTATGCTAGTTTTTGCAAATTTTCTTCTTAAACTCGGATTCTATGCCCTCTTATGGCTAGAAATCCTTGTTTTTCCTCTTGGTGTTTGTAGATTCTTACCATAACACATTTCATGTGTTTGAGATGGTGAAAATCCGGGATCAAACCGATGCTAAGAGTGAAAAGAAGCATATATGTTCATATGATTTCAAAAATCGAGTTTTGCATCTTCTTCTTCATTTCTTTTGTATTCTACATAACAAAAACCAATTAAACCATTTATAGTACATTTTGGATGCTTATTCACACCATGCATGTGCTAGAAATCAGATTTGTGGTGCAATCCTAGTGTAAGATTCGATGGTTCCAAGGAGTTCTATAACACATGAATGAAACACCCACTTTGGGGCCTTGGAATAACCCTAAATCTATGACTTGGATGAATGAACCTAAAAGTTTATTTTTCTTCTTTAAACTCTAGTTTATTGATATTTATCTTTGACCATAATAGAAGTATGCATGTTGTCTTTGTCAAAGTGCCCCTAAGAGCACACTCAAAGCAACCTAGGATGACATGCATTCTGTCAGAATATTTTGTTCAGATTTGAACGGCCACAACTCACTCATTACTAAACCAAATCACGATATTCTTTTTGTGAGGGATAGTTCTATGAGTTAGATTTCGAACCCAATTGGCCGTACTGTAAAATATTAAAAATCGGATTTTTGACAATTTTTACAAAATAATTGCGCAAACAACACTCTTTCTATGATCATTAGTTTTGATTTACATGATCAAGGGTCTTACACCCCAAATTAAATCTGGGGAAAAATATTTTACAAACTTAACATATCCATCAAGTTATGTCTAAAATTTTGTGGGTTAAAACCCCACAGAATGTTCTATAAAAATTCGTAAACTTTCAGCTACATCTAGAACTCATGCACTATATTGTGCTACATTGCTTAACTTGTTGGGGTTGAATACCCTATTTTTATTCTAAATATATTTCGAATAAAATTGTTTTATGAAAGTTCATATATACAAGTGATGATCTATAAAATCCTAAGAGCTAGAACAAATTCCTTATTTTTGTATAAAAATAATGATTTAATGGCTATAAATTCATAATAATTGTTTCCAGAAGAGTTAAAAATCTGAAAATATGCATTAGTAATGTATTCACAGAATAAGAAAGACATGTAACTTTTCAGATGATTTTGACACTGTTTGGTATTTTATACATATTTTTCATTAAATTAGAGCATGAATTTACAAATTCGGGTCATTGGACTCAAAGACCCTAACCAATATTTTTCTCAACCTTAGGAACATTATGGGAGCCTGTAAAAATTGAATTGATAATTTTAGAAAATGTTTACCATTTATTTTGAATTTTATCCATTATTTGGGCTTTAATTTACAAGAAAAAATATCAAATAACCTTCAAAAATGTTTACAAAATTTATGGACACCAATTCCCTTTGTTAGAACCAAATAACCAATCTTTGTAATTTTTGGGAATTTAATTCTATACCTTTCTAAAATTTTTAACACAATGTAATATGAACTAATGTTACCGATAATGAATCGTACACACTTTGGGCACTTTTACGACATCACTAGTTGGAAAGGTAGTTCCTAGAAAATAGCTTAGTGGATTATATCTCACTAAAAACTATTTG